CCGATTCTTTCGACCCCCCTCCCAAACCAGCCGGAATCTCTCATCATCCTGGGCATCTGCAGCCCCCGGAGTCTCTTGAGGAAGGGGTCCCTGTAGGACAGAGGTGTGCTGGGAGCCAGCCTGGCTTCAGCTTTCTGCTCCTCGCCCTCCTCTATGACTTCTGGTGGGATCTCCTCCTGGGGTTTGAGTTCTTGAAGGTCAGGATTGGACTCCAGGGCTTCAATCATTGCAAACTTATCCTCCAGTCTCTCCAGCAGAGCCTACAAGAGAAGGGTTATTTTCATGAAACTCCTAGTTTTGCGGCTGTTTGCCAGCTCTTCCAGTCATCCCATTCTGCATCCACCAGTGGTCCCATGGCCAGCCCCAGGGACACTGTCAGGCTGGGTCCCAGGGTTGCTGCTGGTGCTTGAGCTTTGTGCTCTGCAGTAAATCCCTGCGCACACTGATTCCACCTGCGGGCAGCTCTAGCTGAGAGCTGAATGCAGCTGATTGCCACCAAAGAGTATCTTACTGGCAAGGTTAGAACAGCTCTTGGCAGAGAAAAAATACAAGGAAATTAAAAAATACACAGGAAAAATCCAGCTCCAGCTGCCAATGGAAGGGAACCTCAAGGGACCTCTGAGTCCAGAGCCCGCTCTCATGTTCCCAGAGGTGCCCTCAATGCTGCTCGTCAGCAGTTGGCTTTCTCTTCTTTTTTTATTTTTGGCTAAGCCCACCCACTTTCTTGTCACCCCTGGCTATCTCAATGGAGGTCACTGGGAGAAGCTCCTGGTGTTTTCATTAATCTCAGCCCCCGGAGTTCCAGCATTGCTGCTCCTCACAAGCAAGATGCATTTTCCTGGAAATACCCCTGTGCTAAATTTGTGTCTGCTCGGTGACTTCTTCCTGGGTACCGTTCTCTGTAATCTGTAAAGCTTTGTGTAACAGGGACCAGATAATCTCCTCAGGGGCAGCTCAACCAGTTAGAGGAACGGAATTGTCCATCTCTAGAAGCAGAGTGAGGAGGAGCGAGCCCTGTAGCTTGCTCGGCAGCAGGTGCCTCTCCTCAGCTGGATACTGGAACGGGGCAATGTGGCTTTGGTGACACTGTCCCAACCATCCTGGGGAGTTTATTCTCTGGGTCTGACACTGGTCGCTGGTACCAGTCCAAGGAAAGAGTTAAATTTTCAGACTTCATCTTGCAAGATTGAGTCTTAAGCTGTTATTGTGCTGCTACAGTGGATGTTCTGCATCATTTATTAAAATGCAAACCTGGTCATTTTATAGCTCGACTTTTCTGACTGAGTCACACTAACCGATCACACCGTTCCTCCAGCAACTTTTGTAAAAGTTTGCCTTTGGATGCTCCACTTTGCCTCCTCATCTCTCATCCACGTGCAGGCTGACCTGTTTCCCTGTTCCTGCCATTTAGCAGTGGGAACAGGAGCCCGCTTGAAAATTTTCTATCGGTTCTTGTAGAACCACCGTCATGTCCTCACAGAACTGCTTCTCCGGGACTTTGCTCCCAGGAAGGCAGACCTTGAAAAGAAGAACTGAACCCCCAAAGTAGATGTCCTGTAACATCAGAATTTTGTTTCCCACTGCTACCCAGGAGCCCAAGTGAACCCAGCGCTGGAGGATACTGCTCTCCAGAGCTTCCCTGACCCCCTGTGAGGAACGGAGACTTTGTCCCCTGGTGTGTGATTGCCGGTGCGGCTATCCCGGCTTGCGAAAGAAAGGTAAAAATCACACTCTGCTAAGCACCCCCAAAGTTTAACCTTGCTAAGAGAGAGAGTCCTCACCTCCATGCTGGCCAGCTCTTTGGCAGGGCTGAGGCTGTAGATGGGGTTAGCTCGGCTGGACTGGAGCTGGACGAGCAGCAGCAGGAGGAAGCCACAGGAAAAGGAGCCTTTGGTGTCCATGGCGCTGGGTTCGCTGGGGATAGGGAGGTTCAGACTGTTTCTCCTGAGATGTGTCTTCAGGTCTGTCTCTTCCTTGTGCTGTCCTCTCGCTCCCGAAGCTCGTCTTTTATACCCTTTGGGTGTGATCTCTGCTTCCTGGGTTATCAGTGGATTTATCTGGGGCACATTCCAGTCCCGCTGCCGGCATGCGGCTCTGTCAGGGGAAGATTCCCTTTATTAGCTGTCATTAGGCAGCGGCTGCTGGTGCTGAGGAATGTGTGTCACAAGTCAGTGATTTCATGTCACTCCCCCTCCTCTTGATACCAGGCGCTGGGATTACATAGTCCAGTTGGAAATTCTTAGCGGTTTTCTTTCAAGAGACCCCTATGGTCAGATTTACGGAGATGGGAGACGACACCGAATCTGCTCTAAACTCCGCTCAGTTCGAAGCCTTCCATGGGAAAATCGCCTTTTGCAGGGAAAACACCAGGCTTCTCGGGTGAGCATTTGGTGGAGAGTAAAGGCTGGAGATAAATCCACTTTTAGGACACCTAAAGCATTGTGCACACTTTCCTTCTGTATATGGGATGCACAGGCATCGCATACCGCTGAGGGAGCTGAAAATCCCACGTTTGGGCCACTTCTCTTTCCCCGTGCCCGTTGAGGCGATGTCACCGCTGAGACTTTTTATTTGTACGTTGCCAACCGCAGAGGCGCCCGACCCTCAAAACCAGACGATAACTCCTGGCCTGACCCTACGGGGACACCAAGAACCTGCAGCCCCCCACGGCGGCGCCGTTGCAAAACACGAGTCGTTATTGACAGCTAAACATTGAAATCCATGGGATTTCTTTAAGTACCGGTGGCAAGACTTGAGCTTACCTCAATAAAATTTAAAGAAGAGAAGGTCAGATTCAGGAATAATCTTCTCGTACCATCATACAAGAAAACAACTCGCTCGACGAGGACTTTAAGCAGCTGCTTTCGGTGTTATTCAGCGAAGGTATCAGACCCAGCCCCAAGGAAGAATGGCTGAGTTTGTTTTGGGAGGGGTTAAAATGAATTGTTTAGTTTAATATACTAAAACCAAAGAGTATTTCTTTGTTTGTTTGAGGGCTGGAGTTTTCAAGATCAGTTAAAACTGCCCATGCTTAAATGAGAAATTACAAAAAAGGCAGATTTGCTGCAAATTGCTCTTCCAGCCTTGACTTTGTGTGTATAGTGCAACTAAAAATTATTTTCTTTTACAGAACTATGGGAGAGTTCTAAATCATGAAGCATATTTCTTATCCTGCATTTTCCTGTCATTTCTCGTTAGTCGAAACAGGAATGAATACCTGAGTGCATTGAATATGTCCATCTAGTAACAATTTGTTGGCCATTAATACAAATATGGATCTTGAAAGAATCTCCAGAGTGCAGTTCCTAAATAATAACAGAACGATGGAATATTTCTCATATCTGAAATGTCTTAACGTGATGTTTGTGTACAAACATGTGCATGCACCGTTCACATGACCAGCTACCAAAATTACACTAGAAAGGACGTTCTCAAGGTTGGGAAGTCAAACTCAAATGCCTCTTTTTCCTAATATAGCCCAAAGTCATCCCAGCTCTGCTGGAACCCTTCACTAGAAAACACTCCCGACTTCTCCCAAACGCCTTCTTTTTTCAGTACGTGGAGGCAGCACTCGTTCGTTTTATTATTGTGTGTCCCAACACACTGTGATTTGTGCTGTTAGGAAAGAGCTAGGATCCTGATGTTTTGTTTTAATTAACACGCGATACTGCAGTGTCTGTCTAATTCACTAACGAGCTACAAGTATTCCCTTGGTGCTGTTTTTGGGGGTGGATGTGTATGTTTGCGCCAAGACGTGATTTCGTTTTGTAAATGGAGGAAGTATGAGAAGATAAATCGGAATTACTCATTAATATTGAGTTATTATTCATTAATATTGAATTAATTTAAGATGATATTAGGATAATATTGATTTATTATTCATTAATATTGAATTAATTTAGGATAATATTAATTAGGATAATATTGAGTTATTCATTAATATTAAATTAATTTAAGATAACTAGGATCTGTTATTTTTTATTTTTTTGTTTCTTTCTTTTCACCCCCCCACCCACTAAGTGTTCTCTGCTGCGGTCTCTGGGCAAAACGGTCGCTTGAGCTGGGATTTGCCTGAGAGCTCAGCACATCTGCAAAGCCACCCCTGGGGCACAAACCCAGCAGCAAGAAAACAGAGAACAGCAGAGTATCTGGTGTGAAATGCTTCACTTTGAGCAACCTTCCCTGCGAGACAATCCAATACTCCAGGTTCGTGTTCAGTCGCCTGCACTCCGAGGTTCTCCTTCCTTGTTACCGATTTGTTCCTTTTCCATTTTCCGTGTTGCACAGCAGGTAAATGAGATGCAGGGGACTGACTTCAGCCCCAACAACACTTTTCTGAGGCACGGAGATTTCTGTGCAATATTTCATGTACTGTGTATGGGAGTGTGGAGCTGGGCTAAAACAGCCGACCGTCACAGTAACTCTTGTATTTTCAAAGCCAAATCCTTCCCTCTGTCCTGCATCTCGCCGTGCTGCCGAAGCAAAGGGCGTGTGAAATGTCAGAACTCAGCTCATCGTCCCTGGAGCTGCAAAGCTGTCACCTCTTTATTTGCTTGTGGCATTTCAGTTTCATCACCCCTGCAAGATTAATGAGAACTTGAAGCTTTATAGCCCAGCAACAAATAGTCGGGATCCAGGCATCGCCTGCCTGGTCCTGAGGCAGAGGCTGGGTTTGGATTCCTTTCGTCTCCCCGTGACTAAACCCTTTTGACAAGACAACGCCGTGCCCCACACGAGCTCTCTTCCCCTGCCTTGCAGCTCGGTTAGATTAAGAAAGACGCGAAGAGATGAGGGAGGAAACAAAAGGGAAATATCGTGGTGTCCAGCGCCAGGCACACAGCACCACGGCCACGCGACGGGCTGTGCTGCAGTTCAGGTAGCTCAGAGGTTCCTCGCCTTTTTCTTGGAGGAGGAAGCTTATTTTCATCCCAAACGCAGACGGTTTCTCCCACTGATGGGGCTCTATTCCCTCCGTGGTGCAGCTGCCCCTCTCTTTGCTGGGCTCCCCGGGCAGGCGGCGCAGGCGCTGCCCCTCTCGGTCCCTTTGGAGCGGGGCTTTGGCCATGCCCCGACCCTCTCTGCCTCTTTGGGGGGCTCCCTCTGCTTCACAGCCTTGTCTGGAGACAAGGGGGGGCTTTGCACAAA